CTCTGATTGGTTGATGCTGGAAATCTGTCGCTACGTCACACAGTGGAGTCTCTCTGATTGGTTGATGCTGGAAATCTGTCGCTACGTCACACAGTGGAGTCTCTCTGATTGGTTGATGCTGGAAATCTGTCGCTACGTCACACAGTGGAGTCTCTCTGATTGGTTGATGCTGGAAATCTGTCGCTACGTCACACAGTGGAGTCTCTCTGATTGGTTGATGCTGGAAATATGTCACTACGTCACACAGTGGAGTCTCTCTGATTGGTTGACGCGGCGCGTCGAGCTGTAAAAGTTCAGATTTTCTAACTTCAACGATTTGCTCCTCAGCGCGTCGAACGCTCAGATCGTTCAAATCGTTCAAATCGCGCTGCTCTAATCGCGCTTGAGGCGCCGCAGCAGTTCCCGACGCTGATTGAAGCGCGTCCACCATAGACTTTGTATGTAAACCTGCTGCTCCTGATGCTGAAGTCGCGTTTGGTGTGAACGCACCATTATACTGTATGTATTAGCTCGGCACTAGTGTGACAAACAAGCTAAACTGAGGTCCTCCATCCATATTTTCAGTTGCAGCTGAGTCATTTTTGTGTTCCCCTCTCTGTCATGTGGATGGAGGACCTCAGTGATGAGAGGAGAATGTGYRGYDCTGAGCTAATACATATATATGGTGATAGCATCGGGACTAACGCTAAAGCTAACAGGCGTCCCTTTGCGTCCGATTTTGATGCGTCGGATACTCCCCTTGCGTCATTTTTTGACGAGATGGGTGGAATCTGTTGTCATAATTTCTGAAAGTGCAGAAAATGCACAAAAACTACCGTCCCAAAGCCTAAAATTACCTTTATTCACTTTAGACATCCTGTCCCTGACCCTATAACCATTTTTAGAAAATGTAGGAAATTCATGTCAACTACGTGTTCCAAAGCCTAAAATTACTTAATATTCACTGTAGACATCATATCCCTGACCCCAGTCCCTAAACTTAACTATTTATCCTGATCCCTCATGTTAACCTCAGACCCCCGACCCAAAGACCCCTGTCGGTGCAACCCGGAAAAGCTGCGAGCGGCAAAATAAGACGCAGAGGGAACTTTGGAAAAACTTCAATATGTTGACGAGTCGGGAGTGAGAATGTGTTAGATCATCAGATATTGTCCAAGATTAACCTTCAGGGTGGATATAGCTCGCTAGCAGCCTCGCACCGAGGACCTATCCACGTCATCATTTACCCAGAANTCTCCGCTCCGCTGCGGTCCGACCTCCGCAGCAAAAACGCACCCATTATAATCAATGAGAGTGTTTATACTGGCTGCGCAGGGGGGCGGTGAGTGGACGGCGATCCATCAAAAGTAGAACAGATCCTATTTTTGCCGGACACCGGAGCTGCGCCGGAGTCAATTTTTAAAGATTATGTCGCAGACTTCTTGAAATACTTGATTTGACTCAATTTTTTCTTATTTCAAGAATCTTACCAAGTAAAATTTTCTTACTCTACTGGCAGATGTTTTGACTTAATCTGAGTCAAATTTTCAGGTTGACGATAAATAATCTTACACATTCTGAAAACAAGATTATTATTCTTACACAATCAGTTCTTGTTTAGTAAATCAGTCTCAAAACAAGATCATAAAAAAACGTTTTGGCTGGATATCAGATTTTAAAACTTGGTAAGATGGACAGTTTTTGCAGTGAACACCCATCCCCCACCCCATCCCTCGTCTTTTTTTACAGCGATCCTTTTAAAAGAGTGATCAGCTGTTCATTTCAATTTTGTTCATTTAGTTAATTTCAGATAACTTACAGATTCAGTGGCACAAAAAGTTTTTTTTAATTATTTCAGCATCAGTCAGTGTTTCTCTTCATCTCTTCATATGAATCATAATTAACCATTAAACTCCTGGAGGAAGTGAGACTCATGTGTCTTACTGTGCATGCCTGATCAGGAAATCTTTGATCCACCCAGTGGGTCTAGTAAGCAAACCGTGGATGTGCATTACTCCCAGATTATTTACACCTGGTTTGAATGAACCACCCTAATTGAGAGCGGCTTGGTGTTCGTGCAACTGATTACGGCTGTTTACAAGTTGAAGGCTAGTTCAACCTCGGCTTACAGCTCATATCCTGAATTTAGAAATCTGCCTTTTGTGCAATAGGCCTCAGGTAAGTTTCAGAGCACTTGTTACAACAGAAACATAAGTACTTCCTCTTCCATGCAAACGATTCAAGGCTTAATCAATTCAGGTTTCCATCAAAATCCTGGCTAAATCCCTTATCCTAATGTCCTGATGCATCTCAGTAATCCAGGTAAAAAATCAAAAAGAAAAAAAAATTGTATACGTCATCTGGACGGGTTCTTCTCTAATGAGGAAGAACCCCTTATCCTAGATTCGTGCAATAGGCCTCAAATCTCCTTGTTCATCATTCCTTGTGACAAGTGCCTTGAGAATCAATTTATCCAACAATAAGTTCATTTAAGCTTTCATTTTTTTTCCATTGTAAAATCAAACTTAGGATAAAAAAGGTGGCTACTTTAAAAATGTAATATAGTATTTCATTTAGTTCAATTAGTTTCTTCCCTAATTGTCAGATTTGTTTATACATATTATAACTGAACAATTAAATTGGTAAACCTTTTTGTTTATGTATTATTTGTAGCCTTATTTGCTCTTGTCAACATNCTCTCTTTAAATGCGCAATTAAAGATCTTGAATAATTATGCATTTTGCTTAACCTTTTATAATTACATTTAATAAAGGAGGGTTTGAACTTTTAAGTACTTGTATGGTCTATATTTCACCTCGGTAACAGGTCAACTCAGAGGAAAGGAAACGAGCTCGGGCGGAGTGAGTGTAAGTTCGTGGTTGTTCGCACAACAGCGTCAAGAAGCCAGATGCAAGGACCAGGTGAGTGAATTAATAATAGGAAAAAAACTAAGACAAGTAAGCAAAACAGCAGGTTTCCGTAGACTGGGCTCTCTTTCCTGCAAGAAATTTGCATTTTTAAAATACTGACAATAATAATATATAAAAAAATGATCACAAGAGGAGGGCGCATACATACCACGCTACCAATTAAACACGTGTAATGGGAGGAAGACAACCTCACCCTTGTTGCATGGAAGCCCCGTCTATCGCACACACAGATGCAGAGACCAATATAAAACAAGCATACTAAACTAAAAATAAACTGTTTAATAAAACGCATACCGTCAGGAGGAGGAGGAGGCACTTGTGTCCTATGTTGAGCAGACAAACTTTTTCCTCAACTGAACAGAAAAAAACCCACCAGTTAACTCCAAAGATCCCAAAATCTGCCACCTTCAACCATGACTGTACTCACCAAGACAATAAGTTCATTAATGAACAGTCCGGCTGCAAACTTCTCCTTCGTTTTCTTAGAAAACCGTACTCCGACAGAGTAAATCAATTAAACCAAAACCAGTGTCATGCTGTGGCACTGGTAACCCAGAAGTTCAGTGAAAGGTCACAGTAAGGAAACTGGCTCACTTAAGTAGGGCACCCCCTTCTGGTGATTGGCCAACCAATTTACATGCTCAGTAAACTTGTTACAGGTAACACCCATTCTGCTACACAAGACTGATATTAGCCTTCTTATTATTTAAATTTAGCCCTACTCTTACTTATGGAGTAATGATCACTACCTATTGTAGATTTTTTATCAATGAACCAATCACAAATACCAGCTAAAACATTTGAAACAATTGTTAAATCAATAACTGTTTCCGTCCCCGTTCTTATATTAATTCTTGTTCCCCTTCCATCATTAATACATACTAGATTTTTCATTTCCATTAATTCTTCTATAATTTGTCCATTTTTATCATTACATTTACCCCACACTGTACTATTTGCATTAAAATCTCCACACCAAATRACTTTCCCTTCCAGATATTCTGTTAACTCCTCCATTCTTTCAATCGATAATGTTTTACATGGATTATAAAAATTTATTATTTTGAATTAACCTTCTTCTTCCCATCTCAATTACCACATATTCTAGTTCTTTCCCTTTCCCCAATATCTGATATTGTATCCCTTGTTTAATAAATATTCCACATCCTCCTCCACTTCCNATTTTATTCTATTATCTGTTCATGTATTTTTTCCTCTCTTATGGTTGTCCATTAACATCTGCTGGGGACACTTGTTTTTTGTTTTTTTAAGGTTTGACTTTCTAAAAGAGAGAAAACAGAAGTTATACTTATCATCTTACCAACAAGATTTGCCATGAGCTCCTCTATGGTGTTCTCAGCCCATGCCCATGGTCTGGATCCTTCTGTGTGACCATGGACCCCGCTAAAAAAAGAACAATAACACAATATTTAAAATAAGAGAAATATAAAAGTAAAATAAAAAGTTTTGATTTTTGGAATTAGTTTTAAGTCACGCACAATCTGGCCCAGTTGTCCAGCTCTTCTTCCAGATATTTCTTAACCATTTTGGGTTGAAGTCCAAGTGAATTTCCCGACAAGTATATGCAGTCTTTGCTTCCATCCACCACAGAGAGATCAGCTGCAGAAAGTCTCAATTAATCAGTAGTGCTCATCTGAAGTAACAGTAGACATATTTTTAGCTATTGTGAAGTGGGGTCCCTTAGCAAGATTAGATGACTTTTTGAAAAGCCTAAAATTAAAGATATTTTATGCTGATGCTGTGCTTAAATTTTTTATAACTCTCTGGAGTCCCTGGATGCCTAGGTGCATCCTAGTCATATGACCGATTTAAGTTGCTCTAAACCAATGATTTGAGAAAAAACTACAGACTTCAAACAATAAACCAGTTTTTAAATTGTGCTAATAGGTCAGTTAAAACCAGACTTATGATAGATGGTGCATGCCACTTTTTTTCAGAGAACAATTGTCCTATTTGAAGCGCTGTAGCTGCAGGCAGAAGGAAACACAGTAGTCTCATGAAAAAAAAAAGACTCAAGTACAACCCCAGTTTTATGATTCTCTCCAAACTCCTTTGCAACCAAGGCCCAAAGTTATTTGTGAAGCAGGAAGAAGAAAATAAAAGACATGAAGACAGTAATGTTGGGAGATGTGTTTGGATTTTATAATAAGAGTGTGTTTGAGTTAAAACAATTACGCAATCTGTGAATGTGGAGCAGTCCTCTGAGGTCTGCACATGGAGGTGGGGACAACGTGGCCTGCCCACCTGCTCGAGAACCATACTGGTTGAGTAACCAGAACCAAGCATCAGTTCTGATCTCTGGTGATTAGAGTAGGATGTTTATGCTAACCCAAACGTAAGCAGGTTCCAGCCACAGAGAACAACAGGAGTCCATCCAGATCCACTTTTCGAAAAGATATTTTTATTGTTTTAGCCACAGACAGTCCGAGCAACCAGCAGCAACACCGTCATGAAGGCAGCAAAAAGTAAAGAATCAGGGAAAAATAATAAATTCTACATGTAAATAAATTATAATTCTAAAATAAAACTGCAAGCAGTGATAAAAGGCCCTCGCGTACCAGGGCAATTCAAATTGGGTGTACATTTAGCTATTACAATCACCTGTTTTGTCTTGAGATTTGGCAGAGTGGTTAGGGGAGTCGTCCTGTAACTGGTAGGTTGCCGGTCTGATTCTGTCTCAGTCTTGGTGTCTTTGGGCAAGACACTTCACTTGCTTTGCCTACTGGGCGGGACTTTCAGTGAGAGCAAGTTTGGTTGAAGCAGCGGCTGCTGCGGTCAGACTTTGCATGTAAAACTGGCTGCTTTGGCTGCTCAAAATGCATTTGATGGTGGGAACCCAGCTTGACATCTCCTCCTGCACTTTGCTCCTGAGCTACTTGGACTTTGGTCTGTAAAACCTAAATATTAAATATATGTTCAGTGCGTCATTATCAAACAGATCTGTCCAACTCTTTGTGAGTGACTAAACTCTCTCCTGATAAGAGACTGCTGTGCGTCGCTGCGCTCGCAGGCCGAGTCTTTCTGTGATACTGCAGGGTCCCACTGTTCTAATTAAACCACATTAACTCTAACAGAACATTTGTTTGCCCCATATTAAAGCAAA